CATTTAATAAAACACATTCAAATTTTATTCATTTATCAAATTTAAACATTTATTTGTAAATATATAAAATTATACACAACATTATGTAATTATATTTAAAATAATTATGTAAATAATCGTGAAAATTTTACTTCAAATATTACTTAAAATTATGAATTTACCAAAATTTATTTGAGTTTCACTATAATTTTTGTTTAATATTTTTTTTATTTAAGTCTTTGAATTTTTTTCTTTTTTTTCCTAACCTCCCTTTTTCCTTCCCTCTTAGAACTTGTTTTCATTCGTCATTTCTATCATCTATAAAAAAAAGAAAGAATAATGGTAAGTTTTTGTTTTTAATTACAATTTTTTAATTTTTTTCTAATCCTCCTGATTTCCTGAATAGAACTTGCCTTCGTTTCCGTTATCTACAAAAGAAAGAAAATGTTAAGTTTTTTTTTATTTTAATTTTGTTTTTGTTTTTTTTTATTTTTTTTTTCTAATTTTCCCCCCCTCCCTCCCGATTCCCTTTTAGAAACTCACCATCGATCGATTCTCATTTCCGTTCGTTATCTACAAAAGAAAGGAATGGTAAGTTAGTTTTTTTTTTATTTTAATTTTAAATTTTTTTTTCTTTGCTTTTTCTAATTTTTTTTTTTTTTTTTTTTTTTTTTTTTTTTTCCCCCCCCCCCGATTCCCTTTAGAAACTCACCTTCGATCATCGTTTCCATTATCTACAAAAGAAAGGAATAGTAAGTTAGTTTTTTTTTTATTTTATATTTTTTTTTTTCTTTCCTTTTTCTAATCCCCCCAATTCCTTTTAGAAACTTACCTTCGATCATCGATTATCATTTCCGTTATCTACAAAAGGTAAATGGATGGTAAGTTTTTTTTTAATTAAAATTTTTTTTTTCTTTTTTTTCTCCTAATCCCCCTTTTCCCAATTCCCCTTAGAAACTCACCGATCCTTCATTTTTCATTATCTACAAAAGAAAGAAAGGTAAGCTTTTTTATTTTATTTTAAATTTTTTTTAAATTTTTTTTTCTAATACCCTTTTTTTTTTTCTCCCCCCCCTCTTCAGTTTATTTCTTGATTTTTAGCCAACAAATTATTTTTCAACAAGTCTATTCAATCCAGAAGTTTTCCCATTGTAGCATCATGTTTCAACACTGTTTCAAACATTTGATGCTTTCTTCACTTCATGGTGTATTTAGTACTTTTTTAGCTTCTTCTCACTTCATTCATACCTTATCATCTAACTCTTTTACCTTTGTTTCTAACTTTTCATTTTTTAGTTCCAATTCTGCTATTTGATTTTCATACTTTTCCTTTTGTTCAATTTTTTGAGTATTCAAATCAGAGATTTTTGACCAATTTCCTAAATATTCTAAAGCTAAATTATTTGAAAAATCAATAAACCCTTCTAATATTTCTTCAATTATAATGTTATCAAATCAAACTCTTTTACAATTTTTAGCTCATTCTCTAGTTTCCTGAGGATCTATTGCTATTCTTAGTTTACCTTCATCCGTTTACTTTTTGTTTAGATTTTTGTATTATCATGTTCCTTCAGGAACATATATACCAACTTCGCCCTTATCATTAAGAGACTAACCTATGATATGTCAGATTTTTAGTCTAAAATTTTCTTCTTTATTTGCTAATTGTTTCTTTAAATTTTTATTTTCTTCTATCAGTTTTTTATTACTTTCTTGTAGTTTACTTATAATGTTTGTCATGACTTTCTTTTTATTACCTTTTTTTTTTATTCTTTTAATATACTTATATTCTTTTTATGAGAACATATTAAGTATATAAATTATTTTAGTCTTTTTTTTAAAAAAGTGAAAAAAGCTAACAATATTTGTCAAAAGATTAAACTTGTTAAAACTTAATGACAGCAAAACAGCAAAATAAGGGACAAAGTCATGGAAGTGGTTTTATTCTGAATATTTTATTTGTTGCTAGTATAAAATGGCCTTGAACAAGTAATATCTTTATATTCATCTTTCACAAATAGGCGAATATTATTATAAAAGTATTCTTATCTTTTGTAATCCAAAGAAGGTGGTGTTAACACTAAAATAGACAAAGTTCTAATTTCTTCAAAAATATCTGCTTTCTTGATTTTCAATAAGTTAAATTCAGTAAAAGGTACATTACAACTTCTTGAACTTTCACTGTATCAAGATTAGATGCTTTAAAAAGAAAATAAAGAAAATGTTGATACTTTTGTAAACTATTTAGTTTCTTAAAATAAATTCCCAAAATAACTTTGATATCTAAGTATTGAAAACCTTTTCCATCTTCATAATATTGTGCTTTATTTAATTCAGCTGGACTAGACTTTTTTACCATCTCAATCACATGATCTAGACAATCTACTTTTATTTTTCTGTAAAGTTTTTTAATCAATCCAAAACTACCATCACATTTAAATTTGATATGTTCAGTAATCATGAAATTTAATTTAATACTTTCATAATAACCACAAATTACTAAATATAAATAGAACCACCAAATTGTTATATCTGTTCACCAGCATTATCATAAGTAATTTTTAAATGCTTTTCACCTTTATTCAATTTCTTAATTCCATTAAAAATCATACTAAGAGTTCTATTGGGTCCTTTTCATATAACTTTATCTTTATTAAGAACATAATTAATTTGCTCCTTTACTGCTTCATCTTGAATACCAAATAAATAAACTTTGCATGGACTAAGATAATAAATTATACATGAACATTTGGGCTCAAACATAACTATAATGTGAAGTAGTATCAATACTGCAATACTGTGTTTACCCTTTGAATATTGTTGATTAACTAGTTTCTTTATTCTTTTGCTAATTTGGTATTTTTATTATAATAGTTTCTTTCTAATTTGGCATTGAATAGATGTTCTTTAAATCTTTTGAGCAAATCTTTGGCTTCATCCTTTTGGCGAATATTGTAATATAAACCATCTCTAAAATGCTGACAAATATCACATAAATCAGTTCTTGGACTCATAATTTGAATCTCTAGTGTCAATTAATATCATAATTTCCTGAAAGCATCATATTTTAAGGATTTTAATTTGTTATCTTCTTCTAAGTCAGCTAGAAAACCCCTGTAGACTGATTTATAACTCATTTCGCTGGTAAGAATATAATTAATTGAGTTATTCTTTTGATACTTCTTCTTGAATTTGGTAATCCATAGACTTCTGCATAATTTTCTTTACTACTTCTACAACATTTTTATCAATCACTATTTTAGTTTTCCATTGAGACATCCTTTTAATATTACTATAAATTCTTGGTAAAAGACCATTGTTTATTAGATGATTTCTAATATTTTCAAAGTAAGTTCTACCAATTCCTAACATATTAAGATAAGTTTCTTGACAAAGAAGTGTATTGTGATTTCAATGGTAGAAAGTTCTTTTATTAGATCCAGTTTTCTTTTTAATACATCTACTAGTACTTGTTGATCAACTATCCATTGCTTTAAGTTAGGCCATTAAAAATATGTCTTGTTTTATTTAGAAAGAGCTTGAAAGGATTCCTTTAATTCTGCAAATTGTTCCTTAGGAATTCTTGAAGAACAATCACAACTACAACCTTTTTCTAAAAAATTGATTGCCTTTTCATATTCATTAGAACCATTATAATTATTATTTTTCATATATTTATAATCCTATATATTGGTTTTACACTTTATTGGTTTTGTTTAAAAATAAATAAATAAAAATAGTCAATCATTTAATGTTTTTTAATTATTTAATTAAGATTTTCAAATTTTTCTTCTTTCTGCACTAGTTTATAGTGCTGCGGATTCCAATTATCACAATATGTCTCTGAAAAGCTATTAATTAAAATTAATATAATAATAATATATATAATAAAACAGCAATGATTTTTTGGTTTCATTTTTATTGACAAAAAATTAATTGTAATTCATATATATTTCATTCTCAAAAGGCATTCTTAAACTAAGAAATTTTTAAAACATAATTAACATAAAAGTTATTACATAAACCTTAACTAAGTTTATTGTTATATACAATAAGTTCATCATTAATATAATTAAAAATACTAAAGCTATCTATGAATCGAATACTCATTCACACATTTTTAAACTTTTCATCATGCAAGAAGTGTACAATATTAAGTTTGCTCAATTCTTCATTAGATAGATAATAGGGATTTTGGGTTGAGTCATCCTCACATGTAAAATGTACTATCCAAATATCTTCTGCAGATAGCTTATTCCCATATTCAAGTACTCGTACAAAGTGTTTATTGAGTTGTGTTTTAGTCGCAGTAGCTAGAAGTTTCAAAACAATCGTCTGATGTGAAGTTTTAATTATAAGATCACTCCCTATAAATAATTAGTATAAGGAAAGTATACGGAAATAATACGTTTAATAAACATATAAAAAACGTAGACAAAC